TAAATGGTGAGATTTTACTTCCTATAGCTGTGTTTTTAATCTCTGGCATTATAATAATAAACAACACTGAGCCATTCGTATTTTTTGTTTGTAGAGGAATGATAACACCTAAATTGATGTTATTTACCCTTCATATTTAGGATGGTTTCGTACTAATTCATGTGCATAATCAGAAGAATATCATCGATTGCATCCATATTTCGTTCATATTTGATTATGTCGTGATTTTAGGGTGCTTTATATGATATATTTGAATTAGGTACGAAAAAGGGAACAAGTATAGCAAAATGGCAGGAAGCTGCAGATCACAGCCTGGACGAGAAAGATCTCGACCGAGACATCAGACCGTGAAGCAGGAGAGAAGACCGCTGTCTGAGGACTATAGTTCACGACCCGGAATTTGGAACCTTTGGCGCGAACTTCATGAGAAAGCCACCCAAGAATAAATAGAAACTTTCAACGGTCGGATCACGGCCAGCGACTTCCCTGGCCGCGACGAAGTTCGCGACCGTGAAGTCAAAGGAAAATATCACGATCGCGATCTGCCCCATCTTCCCCCATTCTAAGGGAGCTGATTTTGAGATAGAAATTTATAGTTTAGAGATAAAGAAGAGAGAGAAGCTGAAGGAAGGAGAAGGAGGAGAAGCTAGAGGAGAGGAGTAATCTTCTTCAACATCAAGCCTTCCCCAAATTCTTCTATGCATCTTCTTCCCTCCTTTATGGAGTAGTCTCTTAAGATAATAGGGGTTCTAAACCCCAAATCCTAGTTTTAGGACTATTATGTAATGAATTAATATGTTAGGGTTTTGAATGAATGTGTTTGTCTGCTTAATTTTAATGTTTCATCTACTTGAATTGTGTTTGGGTAAGTCTCCACAATCTTCTCTTCTAGCCTACTTGAGTTTCTACGCTGGGTATGGAGTTTTAGAGTTATACGGGTATGCGCCATTTGATATATTAGGGTTAGATGAATGAATAGGGTATTGTGGTGGACGAGGCGACCGTACCCTTGCCACAAAAATGCCTTCCTAGATGGAACCTAGGATGAAACCTCGGTGTGGAGTGTGGGTCGTACCCATTGAAATGAGCTAAGTTCTTAAAGCCTCTGATACGTGAACCTATACTAAGATGACAATGGAGTAGGTAGGGTATACTCGGAGGCGTGTGGACAATCATGAAAGCCCGCGGAAAAAGCTTACTCACCACATTCGCTTACCCAATATGTTTAGACATTTGCATGATAGAACAAGGCTAGGGCGAGGGTTAGTTCCCTGATGTTCCTGCTTTTATCCTTGTTTATTCTCTCTACTAGTTATTTCACTTTAATCCTCCAACACAACCCCTCAAACCGATCGAGTAGATAACAAAAACGTGGGAAGTAAGTGATGCAACCCTGGGGGCGGGAGGAGGAGGGGTTGGATTTTTATCAAAGTACGCAGCAAAATGGATTGATTAAAATTAAATTCGAACAACATACGGATGTTTTTGGCTCTTGGGTGTTTGGGATATCACTGAATCAAACGTGCAATTCCACACTTGGGGAAAGGCTAGATTGATATAAGAATAGATGCCCGACCATGATTGAAGGGACTATTCAATCGATACAAGAGCTCACGAGTTTGGAATCCACCAAACCCAACACAAGTCGCAACTTGCCCGAAAACCAAAAGATTCTCAATTCGTTTAATCAAAGTCTACTGATTTACAACGAAATAGAAAGGTTAAATAGGCCTAGATGGGTTACTATCAGAAACATATTATGTAGGGGTTTATTTGTCGTCTATTATTATTCGAAACTATTAGGGTCTATTCGGTTAGGTCAATTATTCGGGTAGTTAGTGGGAATTTGTCGGATAATATATATATGTGTTAGGAGAAGGTTGAGAGGCAAGTAATAATACAACTATTATTCCCTAAAGCCTAATTCTGTCTCATCCTTATCCGACCCATCTCTCTCTCTCTCTCTCTCTCTCTCACCTAGCCGTCGGCCACCTCCCTCCCAGAGACCGACTTATGCTTCTTTCTCACCCAAATCCCTATTCTCTCTCACATAAATTCCCAATTCGCATATCGATCGTAAACCATAATCGCACACCTAGATCCTTGTTCTTTCAGTGGTATCAGAGCCTAGCTGGTGTGCCTATTTCTTTAAGAGTTCTTGAGCAAGGAAGATGTCGAATCCGGCGGACAAGCCGCAACAGCCGAAAACGACCAAGGAGGTCGTCACCGTGAAGGATATCACAACAAAAAAGTATGACGTGATCATCACGACGCTGGAAAGTCTCACAGAGTCGACGAAAAGGGCAGCAACAGCAACCTCGCGGGGCTCGATCGGCGCCATTGAAGCCCTAGGCGGACATATTGTTGTTTCGATTGAAGAGATGGGCAAGACAGTGACGGATAACATGTGCCGAGCCCTCGCGGAGATGATGAGAGAGTTTCTGATCGGCGTCCTGCAAAGCCGTGAGCCAAAACCTGAGAGCCACCCAACAGCGGTGAAGATCGCGACCGAGGCAGAGCTGTGAGCTGTGCGGCAACAGCAACGGCGAGCGCAGGAGGCGCGATGGCGGCTGGCGCGGGCAGCGCGACGGCGGCGGGTGCGGGTGGCGCGGCGGCGGCGGGCGCGAGAGTCGCGGTGGAGGTCGGAGGGGAGGGCAGTGGAGGACAGGGCAGGGAAGGACAAGTCGGGCCAGTGTTTAGTGGGCCAGGCCTGCTGCCCGCTCCAACGGCCCAGGAGAACTATGCGGCCCGCGGTAAGCAGAAGATGGTTGAGTTTGATGGGCTGGGCCATGACGGCGAAGAGGAGGAAATGGACTTCGCGGATCAGGAAGGCTGGTGGGCGGACCCAGTGCCCGAAGGAGCCGGAAAGGGCTGGATGGCCAACCCGAAGATGGGCCGAGGGGAGCCGTCGGCCGGTCGCAACCTGGTCGGACCAGTGATGTTCGAATTAGAATTGGGCGGACCGGACCGGATCGAACCAGACAAACTCGGGTCGAGTCAAGGAGTGTCCCACCGGGAAGCAACTGGGGCGGAGCTGGTGGAGCGGCTGGGAATGACCGCGGCGGACCCGAAATGGGATTTCTACCATGGAAAACCCCGCGCGCGGATCAAGGGCGCAATGGGCACAGACTGGAAGTGGGGCAAGGCTCTGGGACCAAGCCTAGGCGCGAGGAAGACTACCAGCGGAAAATGGCTGACAGGACGCAGAGGCTGTATGGGTACAAAAACCCTCTCTATGATTATGATCAAGAGCTGGTGTTCAGAGCCAAGCATTTGGTTATTGAGTTTCCGATTCGATGGCAGTGGCGATGTGGGGCTGTGGTTGTATGCGGCGGAGAGGTGGTTCAAGAACCACCCGATTAGGGAAGAACGGAAGGCGCATCTGGCGTCCTTCTATTTAGAGGGAGATGCCCTCCAATGGTGGGAGTGGACGGAGAGAGCCTACGCGGCAGCGAAAGAGAATATCTCATGGCCCAAGTTTCAGGAGGAGCTTCGATACCAGTTCGGAAGAGCAGAGGGTTGGGCGCCTGAGCAGCTAGCCAAGTTGAAGCAGGTCGGTTCGGTGGCTGAGTACCGAGCCGAATTCCTGAAGCTCGAGAATCAGTGTGAGGAAATGATTGAGGAGACCTTGGTGGGGCTCTGCATGGCGGGACTGCGGCCGGAACTAGCCGCCGCGGTTAAGTTCTTTGAACCTGACTCTCTTTGAGTGGCTTTCAGGCTTGCGGGTCGCAAAGAGGAGTAATTAGCTAGCTGGAGATCGTCGGTGGGACGGATACAGAGGGCCAGCGGAGGAGCGGGGGTTGGTGCTGGGCCTGGGGCAGTCACGCCATCCCCACCGGTGGCGGCCTCAAGCCCGGCGGCTACCGGGGTAGCTACGGGGAGTCGATTCCCAACAAGGCTGCCACCGCATGGGTTTGTGAGGCTGACTCAGGCAGAGATGGACCAGAAGCGTAGGGATGGATGTTGTTTCCATTGCGATGAGAGGTATACCGTGGGACACCAGTGCGCCAAAGGAAACCTGATTTTGCTAATTGGAAACTAGGAAGACGAAGGGGAAGAAATGGAGGCCGATGATGATGAGACTCCGAAGGAAGAGAAGAAAGAAGGCCCCCCTTGAGGGCAAGGTGGGTTTAAAGGGGGATGGAATGTCAGAAACATATTATGTAGGGGTTTATTTGTCGTCTATTATTATTTGGAACTATTAGGATTTATTCCGTTAGGTTAATTATTCGGGTAGTTAGAGGGAATTTGTCGGATAATATATATATGTGTTAGGAGAAGGTTGAGAGGCAAGTAAATTTGAGTTAGGGCCTAATCCTAATCGAATAAAGAAAACAATTTTGTGACTCTGTACTAAATTTGAGTCTTTTGATCGTAGCCTTTCAGATATCCATTTATTCATCCAATGCCTTTTAGTTGTAGGAAAACATACCTACTTTCATGTGGTATAAGCCTCTGGACTCGATTATCATCCATACGTCTTGAATTGAGCTCCAAATTAGGCTTCACGAACAAATTTTCTGCCTTGGCCAAATTCTGACAGTTTTCCTGTTTTGACATACACTTTTGAGAAGCTTGGTAAATGACCTTCCTGACTTCTCCTAGAGATTCCAAGCATACCCATGTGTAGATAAACACTTCATATTCAATACAAGTCATTATCCTTGAATTTGCATTGAGCCAATTGTGCAAACCAAGCTTCCAAAGTGGACATCTCGAACTGTTCCAACACTTAACCAAATTCTGCCTCTTTTCTTTCCAAACTTGATCGCTTCTTTGGCAAGCAATAAAAACGTGTAGAGTTAGCCATTTGGGATCATATCAGTAGGCTAGGGTACCGAGACCCAAGTGAATACGACCTTGATTGCCACTATACGACAATGCAATTTTAGATTAAACTTGGCCTAGAATTGGATAGTTATTGATACGTGTAAATTATTGACAATGATCTGCACGAAATGAATCGATCAAGAAATTTTCCGGATTTTGGAGCAGGCTGATATAGACATATAGTCAACTGTTACATTATTTCAAGTCCTGGAATAGTTGATGGCCTGAAGCTAAAGGTTTCCCTGCAAAAAGCTTGAATGCAAATTCTATACTATGAGCTCAGCGAGCCAGATTGAGGGTCATATCTAACTACTGTTTCTCTTTTGATTCTTCTAATAAGGGTTTGCATAAAGGCAGAGGTCTATTGTTGCTTGTTGAAATGATCTCAGCCGGTAACTTTGCAACAGGAGACTACACTGCAGCAGTAGTCAAAATTGCTGAACAACATTCCAATTTCGTTGTTGGTTTTATTTCTGTTAGTCCGGCATCTTGGTCTGGAGCGCCAGCCGCCAGTCAATCCGATATTTATCTAGGCCACACCTGGAGCCCAAATGGTGGAAGGTTTTTGGCAGTACAATACCCCATATTCTGTAAGTTACCCTTGGAAAACTTACTTCTTTCCCAAGAATCCGTAGCAGTTACAATGCCAATAGTGGTTTCGCTGGACTCCGGAGGCTTCGCACGGCACTACCCACCGCCATCTCACCGCCTCTCACCGCTTCCTCCTCCGGCCGGGGCTTTCTTCTCGTCTTCATGTAGCTCTGTTCCTTGCAGCCAGCAAAGGGTGCTCAGAGTCTCGAGTTTTTCGCCATCTTCTGGCCCTCGTTGACTGGTTTTCCTACGCCATCGCGACTTCTCAATTGGGAACTGATTCTGCCAGACATGCAGAGCTCCGCGCCGTCATCTCCTCCACCTCCAGTCTAGGCAGCAACTCCGCCGACGGAGGCCTTGCTGCTAAGCTCTGGATCAAGTTCTGCTGAGCCTTCTTTTCTCCGAGCTGCCTAGCGCTTCCCCTCCCTCGGTCACCATAGCTTCTCTCTCGGTTTGGTGATACTCTTCTGTGTTGTAGATCTTGATTTCTGATTCTGGTTAGTGGGTCTAACTTCTTGAATGGTATTTATCATGATTGCTTTGTTTTGCTGGTTATACCTCTGGAGATTCATGGTCAATTTCTCAATTTGTGGCTGCAGACTGTTCCACTTCCATCTCCCCTGCAGGATGTCCTGTTTTCAATTCGCTTTTAGTTTTATTTTCAGCTCTACCTTGTTTCTGTGTTTGATTTTATGGATGAATCATGCATGTCCTACAATTTGTTGGTCTTTCCTTGTTGGATTCCACTAGCTAGCTAAGTTTCTGCTTATGCTTGTTGCTTCGATGTCGATTTATTTGATTTCAATTTGTTCCATCTCTGAGTCCGACCCGGAGGAGAGTGTAGAAAAACTCTCTCTCTCTCTCTCGCCGGCCTCCTCTGCCATAGAGAACTTTCCTTCATTTTGCCTTTTGTAGCATCAATCAAATAGATATGATCTTTGATCTGTGTACTGAATTATTTTGCTCCTAGCTAAGAAATCCGGATGATTGGATCTTGCATAATTTATCTTTGCTAGCTCTTGTGTGAACTGGGTTTATTCTTGCAAGTATATAAAATTAAAGTTGGACCTTGCGGAATCGTCCAAGTCAGATGAGACTTTTACTTCTCCTTGTTTATGAATTCTGAATTGTATCATATGTGTACTTTGTGCAAGTAATGCCTGTCGGTACGTTGTCATACTGCAGCCTTGCCTATCCAAGGACGGTATTGGAAGATAGATACGTAGAATCACTGTGAAGCTATTGGTTGCAGATCTACATTGATTATAGCCGCAATGAATGGACATGTATTATTCTTTCAGATCTGGTGGAGACAACTCGCGGTTCGGTTTCCTTTCATTGGAGCCTTTGGCTACTTCTAGCCTATTGAATGGACATATATGTTCCATTTTGATCCAGACTTCTTTTCCGGCCGGCGAGTGCATAACTGCATTCGTTGTCTGACTCACGCCTTTCCGACCACTTAATTATGGGGAGCATTGAATTTTCACGTGATCTCAACTACAACTTGAGCTTCTTCGAGTCTAGATAATAAATAAAAGCCGAATGATGAAAATTGTTGCTCCATTTCAAATTTCCTGCAACGAGAGTGATTATAGGAAGGACATTTGGTCTTCACAATTGCTTATTTTCTTATTTATTTATTCATAAAAAAAGGCATGCACTGGGATTTGAACCTTGGTCTCTTTAAAGGCAAGCAAGGATCATAACCAATCACACTAAATATATTTGTTGTATCTATTTAAATTCAAATATACACGAACCTAAATTATGAAAATCATATGACTTTTTTAACGATTAGTTGGCCACTGAATCTCCCGTAAGTACTTATTTGGTGTTTTAATACTTTGATTATTTTAGTTGTAGTTTAATACTTAATTTAAATTTCTATCTATTTTATAAATATACAATAACCCTAAAATTGCAGCCCAAATATCACTGGTTCGAATATTGCATATCGAATTGCAATGTTAAACATGTAGAAGCAATATCGACTTCTTAAATTAATATTATTTTTCAGAATTACTATGGAGAAATTATATCTTTGTGCAAACTATATGAGACTGGTTCTTTTAATGTTTTAGTCGGGATAACCGCTACATTTTAAACTTCTTCATAATCTGGCATGATTGGATCCAATGATCATTATACAAGATTGTGTTTAATAGGGTGGCTCATTTCACCACTTTTTGGCGTGTTAATGAATTTGTAGGACAATGACAGGTCTACATCTACACTCATCACAATCTACACATCATATAAATGTGAAATGTGAAATGAGAAAAGAGGGATTCCATTTCAAATTTGATGCGTACAGAGCAATTTTTTAGGGGTAAATTTAAAGATGCCAGTGCGGTCGGTCTGTTGAGCACAAAAGTAAAAATATGTTTTCATTTAAACGGGACGGGTTAGCATGCTAACCCTTTAAGGGGTTGGTTTTTTGACACCCCCCCTTTTAATTGGTCAATTTTTCATTAATTATTGACAAGTATTTTTGAAAGTAAACATAATAAATGTTCTGTTATTAAATACAAAGTAAGCATTAAATACACCACATTAATTACCACTTTATTGGTATTTGTACCACTGCACTGATACTCAGATATGACATTGCTACCAGTGCACTGATATCGCTACCAGTGCAGTGGTATATCTACCAGTACAGTGGTACAACGTATCAGTGCAGTGGTATATCTACCAGTACAGTGGTACACCGTATCAGTGCAGTGGTATATTTTTTGGAGGTGGTCGGAGGGAGTCTGCCGATGGGATTTTCACCGGAGAAGTGTGGCGGTCGGAGGAAGTCTGGTGGTCGGAGACTGCTGAAAAAGGAAAAATAAAATATAGTGAGAGAATTCCTAATGTGTATTTAATGTGTGTATTTAATTCCTAATGTGTATTTAATAGTGAGAGAATTCCTAATTAATATGGTACATTTAATTCCTAATGTGTATTTAATGTGTGTATTAAATTCTATAGTTGTATTTAATATACTAGGGGGGTGTCATTTTTCCAACCCCTAAGGAGGTTAGCATGCTAACCGACCCCCATTTAAACGGGCCCAAACTGTTATTTGGCCCACTAATCGTGCACCCATCGCCAATGCAGTCAAATTCGGGATTTTGATCGTAAAATCGTAGGATTTTAGGATTTTACTTAGGGATTCCGATCTTGATTTTACTATAAAATCGGTGGACCTTAAAATCGTTTAAAATCGGGACTAAAATCGTAAAATAGTACCGAAATCGGGATTTTGATCGTAAGAGAACAAAATAGGTGGTTTGAGCCAATTTAAAATAAGTATAACTGTTTCAGCGGAAAGGGCAATGGAATCTTCTCAGATATTTTTCTATTAGAAAAATATTCAAAAATAATAAAAATAACCAAATTAGGGTTCGGTTAATCTCTTTCCCTTCACCCCATTTAACTTATTGGTAAAACACCTGTCCTAATATTGGAAGTATGTAAGAACTAAGATCATTATTAACTAATTAATTTATTAATGAATATATTTGTACCAAGCCACTAACATTACTTATTTTATTGGAGTTCAATTATTTTTAGTTTTAAATCATACTTAGTAGACGATGTCGAAATATTACTTTGAGTTAAACAACCTAGACATAACATGAAAATAAGAGCCAAACCCATGAACTATATCCCTTCATCATGAATTATTTTGAGTTACACATTAAATAACAATTAAAATAGTGATTTTGGAACATTAATCTTGAGAATTATCTTATGGAAAAAAAATCTTCTGAATTATCATTTTAAATGCTATGTGATTTTGTGATATTAATAATTTACCTTATTAATATTCTTATATGATATGTTCTATATGGTACTTAAAATCCTACGATTTTACGATTCGATTATACGATTTTGATTTTACCCCAGTTTTCGATTTTAGGTAAAATCTCGATTTTAACTGCTTTGCCCATCACAGCCTCTCCAAATCTTCCTATTCTACTCGCCGGGTCATCTCCTCCACTACAAAATATCTCCTCATGTACTCAAAGTTCTCACTGAAACCTAATATCTACAACTTTGACGCAGAGGGAGCAACCGATGGATTGTAGCGACCCCCACTATTTTGATAGCTAATCAAGAAGAGCGCGTTTGTTTAGTTGTATGGTGATTCACTTAATTAACAATTTTTATTCCGTTGACAGCCTCCTCTCCGCAATTGTATTGTGTTCACGAAGATCTGAAGGCGCAAGTGCAACAGATCCAGGGGTAAACAATATGTATAAAGCGTTGGCCAAATTGAATTGAGTCATTCTACTTGGAATATGAAGATTTTTGCTTAATTGCTTTGGCTCGTGATGCAACTATGTTATGTTTGAAGGTAGACCAACGCAAACAACAGCACAGCTCCAGGGCTATTCTGCACATTAGGTAGTTGGGGCATTAATTGATAATTATTTGGGATTATTCCTACAAGTACATAATTTAGAACGTGCCTTTATATTGCATTGATTAATAGTTGTTTGAGATTTTTCAAATGAGTGATTTGACATGTTAAACTCTCTTGTTTTTGAAAATGGAGTCTTCGAAGTGGAATATGAAGATTTTGGATTAAGCTTGGTTTCGTAACGCCCTTATGGGTGTTTATTCTCTAAAATGCAGCTGTCTTTCAAAGTGCCCGTTGCAAATGGCAAGTCAGGATACAACGATGGTACCGGTACACGTTTATATCATTAGTAGGTAGCAGATTGTGTCCATTCTACTATATCATTTAGCTAAATACTTAGTTGTTCTTTTCAACTAAAAATTATGCTTAAATGCTGTGATTGGCCTCAGAAATATATGTCTTTGCATTAACTGTTAATGATTGTGAGTTTTGGTTTAATGGTGAAAAGTCCATTTATTTAGAAGTCTAAATTGGGCAAACCTATTGGACAATAGGAATGTCATACATTAGTGTCGTGGGAGGTTTGTTTGATGTCTCAGGGTGTTAGATTTTTAAGAAGGTTGTTTGTTGTGGCAGAGAGTCCCTAAAGCTAGCGAGGTATTCCTATGTGGGCTTTTTCTTTGTTTGACTTTTTCTCGCCTTTTTTCTTATCTCTTTTTCTATTTTTGGTTTTGGTGTGATACCTTCAGTTGCTACGTCTTTATTTGTGAGCCATCTATACTTTTCTTATTCAGTGCCTAAAAATCATATATACTCGATTGCATAGTAGTTATTAATAGATACATTTATACCAATAGAGAGATTTTAAGTTTTATCAGTTG